TCTCACCGATCCTGCCGCAACGACGGACCATTGTCAGCAGGCGTTCAAAGCTTGTTCTATATTAGAGCATAGCGATACCGTCATTTCAATAGACTGATCAAGGCGTGCAGCCGCGAGCTGTCCTCAATGATGCTCATGGGCATCGCGACGTCTTTCTGCGTCGTGCTGTCGTTCATCGCGCGAACCGATGCTCGCGAACGCCAGCATACAATCTCTTAGTGTGCTGAGCTGTTCAACCGGCTCGTCCAGTGTGCTTCAACAGAGATCTGCTTCGATGCACGGCTCGAGCTGGCCATACGACGGCTAAACCCAAATGTGTGATTCAGTTCTTTGTTTTAATAAATATATGTAGTCGGCGTAATATCAGAGATGCAAGTGCTGCTCGATTGGCTACTACATGTACGAAACGCGCATCGATGGCGTTGGCAAGCTCAAGAAGCTTCGACTTCTTTCCTTACTCTCCTCAGCACTTGCTATTGATTTAGGTTCGTGGCCGCTTTATTTGACGGTGAGCCGGCAATCTAACGAACGCCGTAGTGCGATTGTGAGACACTTTCGGATCGAGACAGCAGGGTTCTCATTTTCGTGCGGCCTCATCTGCGTACAGGTACCGTCATTCTCTTAATTCTTCCAAAAGAAATTTCTCCAATTATATCCTCTTACTATAGGGTACTTGCTTCTCGTTTTAGTTTATTTCGCATAATAAGTTTTCTTCGCATTAATCTTCGCGCAGTTAAACTAACAACACTCTAAACAGAGTAAAGACGGATTGGATCGCAAGGTGATTGTACGGGCGCGACCTCATTTCTATTAAGGTTGTGTACAACGTGTGGGTTATATACACGAGTAAAATGTATTGAATCATCACCAGGGCAGTGTATAATATTATTATTAATAAGATATATAATCTAATCTAGTCTGATACAACTCACTGCGTAATATGAAATGGCACTGAACCAAAAAGAAATTATATACGGCTTATAGATTGCAAGTAAATTCTTGGAAGTCATTTTGGGCGTTAGAAGCGTGTTGCGATATATTGTCGTTATTATAAAAATTAATTTCTAATGTACGAGTATTATTCTTAGTCAGACTAGGGCTCCGCGAGCAGAGGACAACCAGATCCGTTTCTTGTCTTGTTAAGGCTAATTTCATGACAGATATAAAACTCATAAACAGTATTACTCGAGCAAGTGCGGCTAATTTGTGCGGAAGTACACGAGAGAATCCAGCCACAACAAATCTCAGTTAGACGAGTACATTTTTTTTTTTATTAAACGGATTGTGACCTTTTTAATTCTCTATAAAATGATAAGGTTCTAGGGTTAGGTTTAGGCCGCTAGTTAGCAAGAACACAGTCTGCAGCGACAGGCGACCTGACCGGAACAAGCAACATGATTTTTCAGAAAATTAGAAAACTATTGTGTTCTAATGCAGCATTGCAACACACACGCACAGCGTTTTTCGTTTGCTCATGTGTGCCAACTGTGGCGCATGTTGGGTGAACTTTGACCAACATCGGTCGCCATCCTCGCATGTGTGCGGCCAGTCGCGCTGGACTTTTGTGTTGTCGTTACGGTCGTCGGTGCGGCGGTATAAAGTATTAGCTATTACTTAATAAATATACTAGTAGCTGAGCTCTAGTACTATAGCCCAGTAGCAGTTGCCATGACTTCCGGCAACTATACCGAGCTATAGTAGGGCTGATAGATCTTATGTTCCCCAGGCGTACTGCCGGAACGCCTAACCCTGGCTACGTCGTATAGCCGCAACCGAACCCTGGGTACTCTGGTACTAAAATACTACTAATCTCAATATGCCGGGACCGTACCTCGCCTACTCCACCCTTAAACGAGTCTAGCGGAGTCGCCTACGCCCTACTCCGCTAAGCCTAACCCCAACCCTAACCCTACTCCTAACTCTAACGCCTAAACCGCTAACCCTAACACTAACCTAACTATATCAGCTAGATAATTACCAGGGTAACGTCCGGTATACCGGACCGTACCTAGAGTACGTTCCGGCAGTACCCTGGGGGACATAGACCTTATCAGCACTACTAATACTAGGCCCCCTAATTGTAGACCGCATATTTTACACACATATATATACTCCACATATTGTAGACATAGTTATAGAATATCAAAGACCGTCTTGCACGGCGTACATACCTACTAATATTAGCTTTTTTTAGCTAATAGGTAGGCTACCTATTTTTCAAAAATACCTTGCTGGCTCCGATTAAAACCTGCGGTAGTGCGTTTCTCGTGCACTTATCTGCGACAAATACACTACGTATCGAAGTCAAAGATCTTACCGCTAACACACGTCCTACAACAGAATTTTTATTCAGCTATACAAATACGTTCTAATCCTTGTTGTGTGTCTACTCTTCAATAAAGTTATTGAATTTATCCACACATAATAGGTATACAAAATGGTGACAGTAGCGTCTATCGGCAAACGCCAACAAAATCATTATGTGAAATATTCACATAGCTTGGCGAGCGCAACGTAGAATAGTGATGTACAGCTCCGACCAATACGTAACAGTTCTACATAGTTCTACGCTGCGTATGTGAAATAGTGACGTTGGGGCCCAAAGACGCTATGTCAGTATTTCACATACTGGCGGACGGATAACTGCAGTATACATATATATGATGTCTACTATCCTATCTCTATGTCTATCTCGTTTGCTGTATTTTTTCTGACCTTATTTATCTTATCTTATCTTATCTTATTTTTATCTTACCTTATCTCGTATCTTTAACTATTACTCCTTATCTGTATTATCTCCAATCTTATAACCTTATATCGCTTATAACTTTCTTAGCGTCTGTTATCTAACTCCTAACCCATGTTAAGAAAAACTGCTCACATGTCTGCTAGCAGGTTAGCTACATTGCGTATGGCCGTCGATGCGTTTTTCGCATGCGTTCACTTTCTTCTCGTTGTTTGTTTTCTGAACCTCGACCTTTTTTTTCGGGGCGCTGTCACGCGCATGCACCTGAACATTTAAACGCGAGTGGCACGTGTGTCGCCTGCGTTACGTGATCACGTGTGAAAATAGCGTTCTGGGCGTCAATCAAATACGAAATTTGCGCCATTCGGTTGCAATTTGCTATTTCTTTGCGGCGAGACGAAACCGCTGTTAGCAAATAAATATACTATCTGCGTAAGTATTGATGCCATTAGATCACAACGGCGTCTTTCCGCAACAATAATGAAGAGAATACGTGCCATTTTGCACTCAATGCGGGGTCTTGGTTGTACGCAATTAGTAATATATATTGGGAAAGAATGAAAATTTTAAATGAAAGTTTTTAAGCTACACAATAGGGGTTTCACTCGCTGCAGTTATTCGATATAAAAAGAGCACAACGAATGTCTCAAATGCAGCTGCATGCACATGAAAGTTCATATCATCAGGTGTCCTTGCAAATTGCAAGGACAAATTGCCAGGACAAATTGCAGGACAAATTGCAAGAACAATTGCAAGGACAATTGCAGGATATTGCCTGCTCTTTTTCGTATAAAATGATAGTATGCGACATTGGGCAACAATAATAGTACACAATATTTGGAAAAAAATCCTTTCAGAATAAAGGTCACCCTATAATTTGTTGACAAAATTGCGCTGTAAATCGTTTCCATTGAACCGCGCGCCAATCTTGCGCTAACGTAATACGTTGTGCAAGCCTATAAACGTCGTACAATATATGAAGAGCTTATTTGCAAAACTGCTATTACGATACTAACGCTACTAGATACCAATTATTTGACACATGTGGTTTATCAATTTAAATACTTTTTACATTGTTGAGTAATTATGAGGCATGAGTGTTTGTGTGTGTGAGTGTGTGTGTGTGTCTGTGTGTGTGTACGTTCGTGTGTGTGTTTTGTGTGTGTGTGTTTTCTTCATTTTTCGTCATCTGTCTTCATGGTAACGCGCATTGTTTGAATTATTATATTTCAATTGAATTTTGTATTTAATTACTGTAACGCATTGCGGCGTTGTTCGGCGGAGTCTCATTTTCACTAAAGTATTCATATTTTATATATTCAACAACATAACATCACCATAAAGCCTATAATTAATATATTCATTAGGAAAAGAAAATTAGTGGGGTTTCATTGTGTAGTGC